TATCACCAAGCGTTAGAACAAGGGGCTGCGTGCAGCTCTTGTTAGGTGCCGTCGACTTCCAACTCGGAGGGTCCTGATGCACAGCAGAAGCCACAGCGCCATCTCACTACTGTTGTCTGATCCCGTTGTTGCAGCTGCCGTGTTGATCCATTTCGACAGCCTTGCTCTTTTCCACTGACCCTCCACTCTACCAAGCATGGTGCCCTTTTCTAGGGAACAGTGATGTCTCGCCATCCTTGCTTCTAAGGAGCGTTCTAGCTGTGCTTCCTCAAAGGTGGTCTGTCATTCTTCTGCCAGTCCCTGGTACTCTCATATGTTGCAGCCACACCGTAATGCAAATGTGTCCATCCGTCTTTGGTCTTCCTGCCTCAGTGTCTAGCTGTCCCACGCTTATGAGGTGATGGAAAGCACACGGCTTCGGTCAGGGGCACCTTTGTCTTTAGAGTGACAGCGTGCGCAGCAGATTTGCCCTGTGCAGTAGATCACTTGACACTTGCTTGTTGCTTCCATGAGCACTGATTGTGGATCCAAGAAAAATGAGATTCTTGACAAGCAATTCTCCATTAATCACGAGACCTGTTGGTCTAGTTGTGAGGATTCTTGGTTGTCTTGACATGGAGTGGTACTCTCTCCTGAAGGTGGTGTAGCTACAGCAATCTTTTATATGTGTTCCCCCTGGATCCCTTTCCCTGGTATTGAAACGTCTCTCTCCTTTACTGAGTGTTCGTGCCCAGCTCCAGGTAGAGACTTTCCCTAATGTCTTCATCTCTGTGTGGGGCTGGCTCCTCTGGAAGAGCCTCTGTGAGGTATTCCCTTGAGCTCCGAGGCTTTGGGCCTTCTCAGCATGCTCTTATGGGTCTTCGCATCCTCACCCTCAGCTGAGCCTGTGAAAACTTTCCTATTCCCTCTGTGAGGGGAAATCTTTGCTTTCCAGGCTCTCCTGTATGTCCTGTGATCTTTGCACAGCTGGAATTCCCTTGTCTCTGCCACCTCTTGTCCAGCTGCTAACCTCACATGGGTGCCAGGCTGTCTGTGGTTTGGCACCACACACGAGCAGTCATGGGAATGCTGGAATTCTTCTTCCTTCCTCCCTTCCTGTCCCTTGCTACTCTGATTGCTCTGTTCCTTTTCATGAAGGGATTCGGGGAAATGAAAAACCATGCCTGCTACTGCCCTGCCCCACGGCTGTATTCTCAGAATACCTTCTTTCTTTCTTCTCTCGAAGCACGCCTTGCTACAGAATATTGTTCACAACTTTAAAGCCTGAACCCAAGGCAACAGGTGATTCTTGAGAGATTAAAGGGATCCTTACCTCCGAGAGGTACGAGACTTTCGGTGGTGCTCCTTTAAGGTCCAGATGGACTACCCGCATTTGGAACAGCGAGGAGCCTGCCATCTTGGTATTCGTGGTGAGCTCCTAGTCCTCCTGCCTGGGTGCTGGTTCCTAGCAGAGACATTCAGTTACAAACCAGGGACAGGGGGTTGTCCTTTCTGCCCTTCCTCTCCCACGGTCTGTTTCAGTTCACTTTGGTATCAGTAATGAGCAGACACCCACTTTATTACATAATAATGAATGAACGACGAAGCTTCTCTCTATGTACACATGCAGGACTCTGCCCTTGACTATAACTCGCCCCTCGGAGGGAAGAGCATGGTTTTCTTCAAAGACAGCTAAAACCC